CAGCCTGTGGTAGGAAACCTTGGCACACCAGCTGTGGTGAAACTACAAATCCCATAATGCCTCATGGTAATGTGGCTGTCAGCATCTTACAATGCTTCATGGGACTTGAAGTTCCACATCCGTTGGAGTGCTGAGGTTTCCTACCCCTGCCCTATTAGAAAAGTTTAGGCTTTGGTTAGACTTTAAACTGGATCTGGCACTGTCCAGAGTCTAGTAAAGTTTGAGGAAGGTGTCCCCTGCTTCCAGTCACCAAGTGACACATGTCTAGAGAGGAAGTCAGACCATAGTCATAGGATGATGAAATGTACAGCTTGTCCCCCAATGATCGGCCAGCAGCACACTGCCTTCGTAGCCTGGCACTGGATCGGTACTGATTACCTGACAGTACGGCCAGGAAGAAATGTGTGGCCAGTGTGTTTCCTCATAAGGCTGCCAGTGATGGGAGAGCAGGAAGAAGCTCCTGTGCCGGTGTGTGTACACGGCTCCCCTCCTCCCTCGGATGACAGTGCAATCCCTCCTCCCGGGCCTCTCCCTCCTCTCCGCACCGCACACACACCTGACGGGCCCCCGCCCGCCTACACACCCCCAGACACGGACAAGGGCCCCACCGTACACACGTGTGTGAGCTCACAGGGTGACACAGGGGCGGACACAGGCTCCGGGCCTCAAGCCTCGGCCTGGCAGTGAGGGTGGGCCCGGGAGCTGTGCGGCCCAGCCGAGGGGTTAACCTGGGCCTAGTAAGGGAAACAGGTGTACAAGCGGAGGGCAATGGCACAGGAACACACGTCGCTAGTATAGGGCCTGCAGGATAGGGAGAGAGGTGCCGGTTATACCGGAGGGGGGGGGATTGGAGGAGGAGGCCCAGGCCCTGTGAGCACAGCGCTGTGTATTCAGTGTACGGACAGGTCGGGCCCGCCCGGAGAGACGTGCGGGTACACGGAGGAAGAAGGGGGTTCAGTCGGCGGATTCTCGCCTGTGTCCTCCCCTCGCCGCTCACCTTCATGTCGGGACATCCTATCGCTCAGGCCGCCGCCGCTGCAGCTGCTCCTCCGACTCCTCCTCCTAGTGAGAGAGCAGAGTGAGTGTGTGTGCTTCCTCTACACCCTCCTCCTCTTCCTCCTCCTGACACACACTGACACCGCACTGTATACACACTTCTCCAGGCTCCTAGGTCTGCACTGCACTCATATATATCTATTTATAAATATCTATATATATGTGTGTCTGTGTACATGGGCCCATATAGCTTATACTAGACCAGGGAGCCTCTCCTTCTCACACAGAGCTGTCACGGTGTAAACATTTCTCCATGCAAACTTTCACAATAGACACCATGTACAATAAAAGCCTATGGGGACCCTTCAAAAAAAGCGTACACTTTTTGGGTGGTGTGCCCCCTTTAAAAAAGTTCTTGGAAGCCCCGTGATAGTTTTGTTAAGAGTCCCGACACCTGCCACAGTTACAAGAGGTCCTTGCGCCATTTCCACAATGTGTTGATAAATTATAAAACAGGGGTAGGCAACTTCAGCCCTCCAGCTGTTTTGGAACTACAAGTCCCATGAATCATTGCAGGACTTTGACAGCCACAGGCATGACTCCCAAGGGCAAAGGCATTATGGCATTTGTAGTTTCAGCACAGCTGGAGTGCTCAGGTTGCCTACCCCTGTTCTAAAAGAATTGCGACTATTTTGTAGAAAACGAAACTGGAGATAGTAAGACTCGGTTCACACAAGATGCAGTGCATTCCGGCCCAATTCTGGCCAGAACACAATGCATTGCTCTTTTTTGTGGGGAAGAGGGCCGCAATGCGATCACCTGCATGGGATCGCAAGGCACATTGTGACTACGGTCTGCTCTGGTGCGATCAAAATGCTGCAACCACTATGTTGATCGCACCGGACTGAACCACAGGCACAATGTGCCTTGCAATCTCGTGCGGCCGATCATATTTCGGCCTGAGGGCGTGGCTACGATGCCATTCACTTCAATGTCCTGCCACGTCCCCCCCCCCCTACCCCACAAAAGAAGTGAGCTGGCCGCAATGCGATGCAGTGCATTCGGGCCGGAACGCACTGCATCTGGTGTGAACCTAGCGGTGCATTCCAGTAGCCATGCTTTCGGTTTGAACAAGGCCTTAACACTTAAAAATGTATTCAAGTACCTTAACTATTAACAAAAAGGTATCCTATTTGTGTATCACTCGGCTGTAGATCATCAAATCATCTCTGAATTCATACTGACACTGTCCTTCCTTCTGGAGGGGGGCTACTTTTGTACCCCATGGTCCCTGTGTGTGGTTAAGTAGCCACCGCTCCGAGCTCACCGCTGTGATGGACTACAATCTCAATATAAATGAGTAAACTAAACATGAGATTGTAGTCCTTCACAGGAGTGAGCTTGAAACAGTGGCTACTTTACAACACACACAGGGACCATTGGAAGCAAAAGTAGCCACCATACAAAAGGAAGGACAGTGTCAGCACCAATGCAGAGATGATTTGAGCACCTACAGCTGAGTGATACACAAATAAGATATATTTTTGTAAATAAGGTATTTGAATGTATTGTTAAGGTTTAAACTGATATTAAAGTCAAATGTATTCTAAAGTGATGTTTTTTCCCCCTCCGCCATACTAATGTAAGGGCTTACCTTAAATGATGCCTCTTGATTCGATCATCTTCTTCTTTCCTGTAGTTTTCAGGAGTCCCTCCAGTGCTGCTGCGGGTCTCCGATCCAGAGCTGACTCTTTTGTCTTAACTGGCACTTCCTGTCCCAGAGTGTCTGTGCGGGTGCACGATGCTGCATTTACTCACCTTGTGTCTCTCCTCGTCTCCCGGCCGAAGATCTGAAATGCGCATGTGCCCGCCCCAAGATCTTTTGCGGCTGCCCGAGCATTTTTAAATGTTCGGACGGGAGCACGTGGCTGGGGACACAGGCAAGTTTAAACCCTTTGGAAAAGGTTTTTTTTTTAAATGTTTTTGCATATGTCTACTGCTTGATAGCAGTAGATATATGCAAAAAAAGGGGATGGTTTAGTAACCCTTCAAGCTATTTCAAATGCTGATGAAATCACTTGCAATGAATGCTGCTCCTTGATGTTTAAAAGTTTTAGGGGGTTATTCACTTAGCAGCCAAGTGAATAACCGAGCTGAAGTGAAGTGAGCCGAATGCTGTTCGGCTATTAACTCCAGCCTTGTACGGCTGATTGCAGCCGTACATCGGCTAAAATCAGCAGTACTTCGGCTGCCTTCGATCAGCCAAACATGCTGAGCCGAAGTGAAGAAGGAGTTTGACTCAGCAGATCCAACATCTGGATCGGCTGAGCCGAAGCTCCGGCAGCTCACTCGCTGCCGTTCGCCCCTATTTTCATAGGGGTCGAACGGCAGTGAGTAAATAGCCAAATGTCGACCGACATTCGGCTCCGCTGTTCTGCTCGCTCCCAAGGTTTAAACTTACCCGTGTCTCCAGCCACGCGCTCACGTCCGAACATCTGAAAATTCTCGGGTGGCCGCAAAGGATCTTGGGGCAGGTGCATGCGCACTTCAGATCTTCGGCCGGGAGACGAGGAGAAACACAAGATGAGTAGCGAGCAGAATAGAAAAAAAGGTAAATGAAAAAAAAAAATGTTGAAAAAGTATTTGAAAAAATTAAGGAAATAAAAAGAGATCACGGCTGGCTCCACCCAGCTGTCATTTGGCTTTGGCCGACCTTTCTCCACGGTTCGCCTGTCACTACAGCTCAGCCTAGCCGAAGCATATGGGTTCGGCTCGGCTGCTGTATGGGCTATTGTGAATAGCCCATACAGCAGCCCTTCGGTTCGATGAACCGAAGAGCTCAGGCGGCCGAAGCAAGCGGAAGGATCAGCCAAAGCTACGGCTGGATCCTTCGGCTCTGTAGTGAATAACCCTATTAGTTTACTGCAGAATCGGCTGGACCCCTGAACACTGGTCCTGACTTTTTGTTTCTCCAAGCTAGTAGATGAACAGTTGCTGGAGTCTGCACTGTCCTTTGTGATCTTGTACTTGACAGTTAGTTCAGTGAAGCTGAGGTAAGAGACTTGGAAGCAGCTGTTCAGAAACATGTTGTAAGTCTTTGGCCAAAAATGTAAATAAATGCTTTGTTGGGCAATGTATATGTGTTTGATCTGGATTCATTATTGGAAAAAGAAATGTAAGAGTTTAATACTACTTTAACTCCTGACTTTAGTGTCACTTTAGGGCCAACTCTCCGTTGATGAACAGACACAGGCATGCAAATACGCCCCATTCTTTATTACACAGTTGGGGGTGCTGTAAAGTAACAAGCAGGACATGTTTGCATTAGGAAGCTGTTATGAATGTGACAGCTTCCCGTTCAGGGATGATTGGTTGTGTCCTAGCAACCAATGATGCACCCTGACCCTATTCAGCTGCTGCATGGGAGATTTCCTGCATGACAGCTGAATGTAAACAAAGTGGGCGGCAATGGCCATGTTTGGTCAATGATTTCAACAAGCATCCCCACTCCTTTTTGGCTCATGGCTAGGGAATCTGGCAGCTGAATGGGGCAAGGGATGCATCAGTGGTTGCTAGGACACCGTGAGCTGCACAGCTGACAGCGTCCTTGCAACCAATGACATGGGGCTAAATTGATAGTGCAACCTGATGGGAAAGCTGACAGACTAGTTTCCCATTAGGTTAACCTGCCTTGTATTTTGCCTACTGTCATATGCTGTCAATCGCAAGTTACGTAGACCTAATGGGGTACTAGTTTCTCAGAGTTCCAAGTGAGGTACACCTTTCTTGTGATTCACAGCTGGTGGCTATGGATTTCGTTAACTACCATCCACTGTCAATCACAAGTCTGGTGGATCTGATGTGGTACTAGTCTCTCAGAGTTCCCCCATCAGGCCCACCTTCTTTGTGATTGACAGCTAGCAGGTATGGAATCCACCCACTGCTGTCTGCTGTCATTTACAACCCCAATTCCAAAAAAGCTGTTTAAAATCTACATAAAAACAGAATGCAATGATTTGCATATCTCATAAACCCAAATTTTATTCACAATAGAAAACATATTAAATATTTAAACTGAGAAAATAGACCATTTTAGAAAGTCAGAGTGTTTCAGAGGTTCACCAATCTGTTATAAGCTGCGTCTAAAAATTGTCAAACAATTTCAGAATAATGTTCCTCAATGTAAAATTGCAAAGACTTTAAATATATCTTCATCCACAGTACATAATATCATCAAAAGATTTGCGAGAATCTGGAGAAATCTTTGTGTGCGAGGGAAAAGGTTGAAACACAATATTGGATGCCTGTGATCTTCAGGCCCTCAGATAGCACTGTATTAAAAACAGTCATGATTCTGTGATGGACATCACTGCCTGGGCTCAGGAATACTTCCAAAGCTCACTGTCTGTGAACTCAGTTTGCCATGCCATCAAAAACCGCAAGTTAAAGCTCTATTATGCAAAGAAGCAGTGGCGTCACAAGGGGGGTGACTCATAGTCATTTTGGTGTCACCCCCCTCTGAAAAGTCAGGCGCTCGGTCATGGACCGAACGCCCGACATTATCAGGAGAGAGGAGGGGAGCCGGCGGCATACCTTACCCCGCCGGGTGACTGTCCCCTCCTCTCTCTGCCGGCGTCCATCACCAAGATGGCCGCCGGCAGGTATCAGAATGCTGCCGAGCGTGCGCGATGATGTCATCGCGCACGCGCGTGGTGACGTCACGCGCATGCGCAGTGACGTCTCAGCGGGGTGACACTCGGTTACCGCTCCGCGTGTCACCCAGCCTCGGGACGCCCCTGCAAAGAAGAATCCATATCTAAACATGACCCAAAAACGCTGCCATCCTCTCTGGGCCAAAGCTCATTTAACCCCTTCATGACTGCGCTGTTTTTTTCCGTTTCTGTTTGTTAAAAGCTGAGGCACTTTTTACATTTTTGCTGTGTGATTCTCCCATGGCAGTTATATACTTTCTGACTAAATGCGCAAACACATATTATATATTGTTTTTTAGAGGACAGATAGGGCTATATATTTAATTATATCCTCACTTAGTATGAATCAAATATAACAAAAAGAGGAAACAACATAAAGAAAACACTTTTCCCCAATT